GAACCTTCGGAAGCATTATGCAGGAGGAATACAGCAGCATGTACAATTCCACAGGCAGATGTACCATATGAAAAATGAGGGGCTAACTCAATTCCCTCACCTCTCATCATAACCACCTTCACTTTCTTAAAACCTTAATTTTAACTTGTTAAAAAAAATGTTATCAATTTCTTTTGTTTCTTTATACGTTTCAACAAAGACAATTGTTTATTCTTCCTTTCCGTAAGTTCTGATGTTTAAACTGTAACAGTAACTGCTGTACAACTAAAAATGTTTGATTTAATACTTCAGTAGTGTTTCACAGGGTTAAATAGGTAATTACCAGTACAAAAGTAATACTGTTTTCTTTATGATTGTACAGTGTTCCAACATACGAAGGAAAAATACTGGGTGATTTTCTGAGTGTCTGAAATCAGATTTATGGGAGTTTCATTTTCGATTTACAAATTTTCACCTTACGAATAGTATTCATTGAATGAATTACGGTCGTAAATCTAGGAATAGGTGTACAATCAAACATGGTCTTCGATAAGATTTCTTCCCTGGAAGGTAAGTCTACAGCAGAATGTACGGCCGGGGAAAGGGTATTTGGCGCCCTGGACGAACCTCCAGATATACGCCCGTACCAGTTAACTTTGCGCATTATTAATATGAATAAAATATATAATTTCAGATTCAATGTACATGATAAAGGAGAAAAGTATGATACCGGTGTTTCCCTTCAGGAAGTCAAGACACTGAAGAGCAATGACAGCCGACTACTCCTGCAGGCCTTCCTTCTCCGAAGCGACTTGCGTTTGTTTTGTGGCGGCGTAACCTAGAAAGAAAGCGCAGAACTGTGCTACAAGATTACACCACATGATGCACTATTAATCACTTTGTGTGTTATAACCAATTTACTTACGAAATATATTGATTAGGGAGGGCGGTGCAGTTAAAATGGCCGAATTCAACAAAAACCCATATGTAATCACTGGTACATTATTATAATTATAACTGTTAAAATATTTGATTTACAAAATATTCTAAATTAAAATTCATACCTAAATATGAAAAGCCTCGATCATGAAAGCCAAATACACCTTGTCCACCATCAATTGCGACGTCACTCCATACTTCTTCCTGTATCCTACCGCATTTCTAACAACAAATCAAATGATTATTTCTTGATGTCGTTTATACGTAACACCGCAGTTTTGATTTGTCAAGACGTGGAATTACTTAATGGTGTTTATGCTCCGTTCATTTCTCTCTCTCTGCAGTTGGTACTGTGGGTCTTAACAAAAAAAAGACAGCCAGTTGCAGTGTTACAACGTTAATATGGTGAGACAGACAGGCGGTAAGAAGGTGTGGCTGTACAATAATTATCGTTGTTGAACAAGGTGTATCAATGTTTATAACTGTGGCTCTGGATATCCACGCAACAATTTGGTTTTTGAAACTATTTTATTAATCAGAGATTTTAAGAACTGTAAATATAGTATTAACAGATCATGGATACCTACCGAGTAACAGAGAGACCAAGCATTCTAGGCTGTTGTGACAGACCGATCTTATCTGTCCAATACATACGTTGTGCATTGTTCACAAAGGATAATTAAAGTTTGTCGCACAGTACAGGAAGTCACGTGGCACCCTAATCAATTTTGGACCAGGTAACTGATTTTACGTAAATGACATCCCACCCCATTACAGCGTCACACCAGTAACATCTTTCCTTACGAAATCAGTCTATCACTTCATAGACATGGCCTTCATTAAGCACCGTTGTTGAAAAAGTGTCAATGTTTGTTTCTAGAAGTCCAGAATATCTGCACGTAGCGACTTCTCTGTGCTGTTGTGGAGACACCTGGTACCTAACATCTGTAACACTGGTGACATCACGACTTGAATACTGCAGCTCTGTTTTCTGTCGCAAAACTTTATTAAGATTGGCCATGCTATTACACGGAAGGGGAGAGCATTTTTCGTTCACTTCATCGTTTGTCGTCGTACAACGACTGCAAAATGTAAAGGCGAAATAGTGTGTAGTGCACACCGAGCCCCTCAAGTTGGCGCGTCTGAAGAGTCTGATCGTGATAACCACTAACACAACACTGGCCACCAGGCTGCAGATAGCTCCGAATACGTACCAGTTAAAGAATGATCTCGTATGTTCAACCTTTGGTAAGGCCAGGTTTGAGCTCGGAGTGTATTTATATCGTATTTGCATTGTAGAGTGCACTGTCGATTGAGCAAGACTTCCAATATTACTCCCATTCTTTGAAATGGTCTCTTCTTTATCTTCAAAAAACACGGAACTTGCCGCTGTGGAGCCGGAAACTGTAGATGTAAGAATATTACTTTCCGGCGTAGTTGCCGCAACGGACGCTGTCAAATTGTTGCTGTTCGGAGAAGTTGTTGGCTCCCCCACAGAAGGACTTGTAGCGGAAATCGACGAGTTCGTAATCGGCATAAACGTGAACGACAAAGGAACTGTGCCGCAAACAAGCGTCTCCAGTAATTTCCAACTTGCCCGTGGCGTGTCGCATGAAACTTCGTCCAGGCGGACACCGTGGTTCAAGCACCACGCTGAAAATCGTTTCATGTCGCAGTCACACACCAACGGATTGTCTGAGAGGTGTAAGTGTTTGATGCTGTGCGAGTGGCTCAACACTGCATGTGGCAAGACTTTCAGTCCGTTGTTCTTCAGGTTCAGTGTCACCAGTCGTGGGTTGCGCGAGAACGTGTCTGATGAAAGCGACTGTATCCCGTTTCCTTCGAGTACAAGTTTGGTCAAATTGGGTAGTCCACTGAACACTCTATTGTTGAGCACGTTCCAACTGCTGTCTCTCATTCGATTACAGTGACCAGCATCCAGAATGTTTATATATTCGGAATTGAGTAGGTTATCGTTCAAGACCAGCATATTAAAACTTACGTTCAAAAAATAAAAGGACTTCATATGCACAAACGTGTCAGGATGTAGGAACCTAAGTCTGTTGAAGCTGATGTCTAACCTCTTAAGTCTCGGGTTGTGCTGAAAAGTGCTGTGATGTAATTCTCCAATCTCGTTATTGTTTACGCAAGCAACGTCCAACTGTTGCAAGCCGCGAAAGGCATCTGGTTCTATGACACTTACGTTGTTGCGTTCCAAGTAAATGTCATGTAAACAATCCCTGCAAGGAAGAGTCTTGAATGCATCGCTGCAGATAGTAGATGTACCGGAACAGTTCAAACGGAGTCCTGTATGCACTAGTGTGTCGTTTCCGAATAGAATTCCAGATAAATAAAGCTCACAGCGCATTTTAAAAGGCACTTCGTCACACAAACACGAGGGAGTCACTGTACAGGCCGAAGAATCACGAAACAGTGTTGCCAATGCAAATAGCAAGCCTAACGGAGCTGCAGTATGCATAACTATGACGTCAGGGTTTATTCATATATTGACTACTGACACGGAAATGTAGAAATGGTTTCATTAGGGCTCGTTTACCCCCACACGTTCTGGATGATGCGCACGCATTTCCCTTATCTGTGTGCTTAATAATAATAATCCGTGGCTTAACAGCTCCAGAGAGCCTAAGCTGGCTTGATGGCTGCTGGCCTCACGTTCATATGCCTAAGCAGAGGTGCGACTCCGAACATGACTGTCTTCTGGGTTGTAGCTCTGTGTTGTCTCGTGATGATCTCACGTTCATATGCCTAAGCAGAGGTGCGACTCCGAACATGACTGTCTTCTGGGTTGTAGCTCTGTGTTGTCTCGTGATGATGGAAGCAGCAGGGACCTATGAAACGTTGGTAAACTACACGGCGCTTTTACCCAGAAGACAGCCGCCTTAAATTTAGATGAGCTTCGGCTTCATCCCACGCCTGGTAAAAAGGATGCGCGCCCGATCTGTGAGGAAGACCTGAAGAATGTGATTGGCTCTGACATGAGCGAAGCATTTTAATGGAAGTGTTGTGTGTGAAAGCATCGGAGCTTGTCCTGTACATCTTCACATTTATCCTGTTCTTTGAAGCAAACCCCATGCTTGTATCTCAGAAACTCATTATTGTAGTCTCCAGAAAAACGCTCCGCCCCCTTTGAAATGGACCTATGGCGGAAATTGACGAATATATTGCACAATAAAGCAGGGCGTAAAATTTACGCTGATTCTGTTATTTCGTAAGCCTTTTTTTAAATGCTATCTCATGTGATTTTAAGGCTACTTTTAAATCCAAAGTGTATGCATGTTGGTAAGGTTTCATGTCTCGTGTTGTGCTTTGATGGCACGGGAGAAGTTGGAAAACGCGCAGGAAAGTGCAGTCTTTCCGCGAAGGGGAAAGAAATAAAACAAACAAAAACGCCGAGATATGTGGAACCTTTCATGCCTTATCTGCACGATAAGCACCGCTATTTGACATGTGGCACACGAATGAACAAACTTTCCGATGTGCGTTCAACAGAAAATTGGCTTACATTCCATCACACAGTAAAATTTACACACGTACTCAGTCCGGTCACTGAAACCATTAAAGGAAACCACTGTCTTAATTAGAAAGGCGTGGGAATCTTGATTGTGGTTTGAGAAATTTTGCTTTCCGATCAAGCGCCCCTCCGTGTGGGCATAACGGCTTCTCTGTGTCCTGAACTCCTAAAACCTTTGTCAATTTCGATGTAAATTCGTGAAGCAAATGGTCAGAATCTGATACATTTCTTTGGGATGTTCCCGTTTCCCCTCAGACGCTGATCCGTGGCAAGAAACACGGGATAAATTGGAGTCTGGTCGTTGTGCAACTTATCAGCACACAACTCATTTGCCTCAGCTGAATTTTCATGAGCTTCAGCAAGCATAATATTCAAGTCTGGACATTCCTGGTCTGTGCAGTTCATTTTGTAGGTTATATCACAGGGAACCACAGTCCTTCATTACAACCGAGGTACAAATTGGAT